TTAAAATTAATCACCCACTCACTCAGGATAATGGCGTGGAAAAAATAGTTTGTCCAAAATTATGCAAGTCAAATTTAATATCTAAAAATATATTTATTTCCACAAAATGTCAAGCTCTAATCAAAACAGTATATAGCAACCAGTAATTTTATTTTAAAACAGTAGAATATATAATACACATAAGGGTATTAATTCTTGAAAAAAAAAAAAAATAATGTCAATTTAATTTTATAATTTTTATCGGTCTTCATCGAACCTCTTTTTTTCGATATTTCTGCTATTTGCAACTCGTTTTGTAATTTAATTTATTGCTATTGTATTTTAGCTATTTTCTTTTCGTTTAATGTACAAATATCAAAAGCTTAATTCATAATCTAGAAAGTTTATTATTATTTAAATACTAATTACTCTTATATCTACATTATTCTATTTCTTTGGAACTAATAAAACCAGCCATAGACATTTCAGTATAAACTTTATTAATTCATTATCCTAGTGCAACAATAGATGTCTATCTAAATGTACTCGTATTACTGTGTTTATGAGCAAAATAACTGTTTTTATCACTTTTTCCTTATTTCCTGTAGCAAGCGTAACCGAAGAACCGTTACAGTGTCATACACGTGTTGTCCATTCTCCATTGACCTGTGTCTGTTTACCTATTTATAATAATTTTGTATCCAATATAGATTTTAAAATTCAAAGTCAGTTCTGATTTGATTCGTATCTGTTCCATTTTTAAAATAGTCACCTTTCACAGTTTATGTAAACATCAACAATATGGCGCCTTCAAATCGATTTTCGAATTTCGAACGCTGTGTTTTGTGGCGCCATCGCAGAGTAAATAGCACTACAAGGATCTATATTAAATCGGTTAGCATTCAAGAAATAGTATATTTTAACACTTATATTTTTTTTTACAAATACATATTTTAAAAATACGCTGTTTAGAACCGCCTCTTACAGCCGTTAGAGCAATAAAAGCGATCATGAATAAGAAATGTTTTGTATCACATAAAAATTCGTAACTACGCTGTTTGTGGACGCGACGTGTCTATTTATTGTTGTGTATTAGGTACACCAACCGGCGACGATTGTGTATTCAACGACAGTGTCTACAAACTGGCTCCATTTTCTCGTTTAGCGCAATTCATCAGTGTTGAAGTATGGCATCAATACGTTTTTCGTTGATTTCGTACAAGCTTATATGGTTATGATAATTTGTTTCCGGTGTGCGGCGCGTGCGCACGGCACGACAAACTATTACATTCATAGCGTTAGCACGATTTGCATTTGAAATATTTCGTTTGGCTCGCGACTCACCTTCACAATCACAATGCTTCGGAAGAAAGAAGCGGCGATTTCAATGAAAGAAGGCTTGTAACGTAGGTATCAAATTTCGTGGTACATTTTTCAGGGGCTCGTGCTAACCTTTTTGGGATGTGCAATAATAGGGCTCGTTTCGTGATGCACGTGCGTGGAGAATACTGGAGAATAAAAGAATGCAAGAATAAATTCTCTTTGGTATGTTAAAAAGTAGGTACTTATAATGCACTATAGCCAAAAGAGAACGGTCCTCTTTTTTGTTGTTAGTATAAAATTATACTAAACAATTAATAGTAGGTCAGGAGTTGCATCAGTGAAAGTACCTAAATAACGGGTTGAAATTATTTTATCGTTGTAATATGTGAATTAATAGTATCTAACCTACCTATTCTCATACTTACAAAATTTAAAATCACATTTAATTTTTTTTTATCATAATATAGAAAGATACTCATCTATATGTGTGAAAGAATTATCCTGACTGATTGACAGACTTGTAAATCTATCAACATATGACAGTGTTGGGATCATATATAAAATAATGGTTTTAATATTATACATATCTATAATATTTTTAATAGATAATAATGAAATGGTAACCACGCCCGCGCCATCGTTATACACTGACAGGGCACTAGTGAGAAATTATAGGTGAAGATAAAGTCAGGCCAGTTGGCCTATCGCAATAAATTAATCAACACTAATTAATCAAAATTCGAATTCGAAATTCAAATCATCTTTATTCAAGTAAACTTGTTTACACTTTAGTTCAATTTACGACGAATCACGATGGTTTCCGGGGGGAACCGCATGGAAATCGACTTGACAAGGTATATAGCTTGCAATGGGGATTAACGTCCCCATTACTAACAATCCTTCTTCCACTTATCTATAATATTAGGTACTATACACGTATTATATAACAAAAGTATGGTACGAAACGTAACTAAACGAAACAGGTGAAATTCGCTAATGAGCCGAAATTAATTTGGCGGGCATTTCGAGCGTTGTGGCGTAAACGGGATGGTGCCTTTGTTTTATTGAATAATTGCCGAGAGGTGTTTCGGCCGAGACGGACTGGTTCTTTCAAGGCCAGCCGTCGAACTTGCGAGCGGGCTATATTCTGTTCGAAAAACGGCCCGTACACGTCACTGGTGATAGCGTCGTATCAATCACATACATAATTATTTTATTGTTTAATTTCGTAAGCATATTTGTCCTATTACTAGATTATACCCGCGACATTGTCCACGTGACTGAGATATGTTCACTGATCGGGATGAAAAGTAACCTATATCTCTCTCCATCCCATATATTTTATACCAAATTTCATAGAGATTGCGTAAGCCGTCTAGGCGTCAAAGCTAACACTTACATTTATTTGTAGGTAGGTAGTATTATAAATAAGAAATTTGGAGAGGATATACAGATGGATATTTGTTACTCTTCCACACAAAAACTATTAAAAGTTTTTAAACAAAATTTAAAACACGGTTTGGTTATATGCTAATTTAAAAAATAGGACATTTTATATAGTGATTCACATGGGCAAAGTCGCGGAATACAGCTAGATTTTTATAGTTTAATGAATTAACTTTCATGGATTTTTATTGAGAACTCTCAACCAATTTTGAGATATACGAAACCCTTTATCATAATTAGTGCGAACGCTGTTCTTTTAGAATGAGCCGTTTGAATTATATACCTAAGTAACCTATTCGACTATGACACCTCTATTTATTTAAAAAAATATATCACTAAGTAAATATTGCCACTCCACATTTACACAGCTATAAATAAATACTTTATATAATTAATTTACGATAAATATATATTTAAAAAATAAAGATAAGTGACTAAAAGTATATATATAATACATTTGCAAATTTTTCATAAGATAACCGTGTAAGGTACTTACGTGAAAAAAACATTAATACAGGTATTGAAGATTTCCTTAAATACCTATACACTTAAAGAGAAAAATATTGAAATTGAAAATAAAACATAAAATAAAACGGCACTAATATCAATAAATGTTTATATTTTATATCAAACGACGCTTGACTCGTCTCTACTGGAACGAGTGTAAACTTCGCGACCATTTGAGTATTCAGTGTTGCCAGATACGATTTTTTATTTATCCACAAATTGAAAAAATTTTCTCCAAAATTATTCCAAACACATTTGCGCAAACTTTCATCCGCTATCACCACATTTGCTACGAGCGAAGAAAAAGACCCTCTGAACGTTGATATTGCCGTCATCACGCCTACTTTGCTATACATTACAAACAAATTACCCAAAACTCCCCATTTTCCCCAAAAAATTCTCTAAGAAACAAATTATTTTTGCGGGTAACATCTATTGTTTCATAACTACACCTTGATTTTTTTTCATGGTTCATCCAGCTATCCAAAAATAAATTAATTTAGTTTATATTAATCAGTATTTTATTGTATAATTATATTAACACAATTTAGATTAATTTATGATAAGGAAATTAACGAGGATAATGTTATAATCAGCCATATATTGTCGTGTTATCTATTGATAATATATACAAACGTTTCATTGTAATTGCCGCCCGTACCTATCGTAATTTCACGAAATACATGTGTCATGAAAAATTAACAATTTTGTCTATGAATCCCCATATTTACTTAAATAAACTACTATGTATATTTTAAACTTACATGTTATGAAAGTATAACATGTAAGTTTAAAATGAACATGTACATGAGTAGGTACTTACTTATACTTGTTTTACTAATATAATAAAATTAGTAACTACACGACGTCAATGAATAGGAGATATTTAAAAAAAAAGTTATATAAGGACTATTAATAGAATTAACAGTAACCAAACAATAATTTTTAGATTTTTTTCTGTCTGTCTATCTGTCTGTATGTTTATTCTAGCATCACGAAAAAAAACTATTGCACGAAATTGGATACGGTTTCAACAGTTGTATTTCTGAAGATTTGACTTAAATACTGGTATATGTTTTATATTGAAGTGATCTTTTTTATTGATATCATACATCTGAAATCTACGCGTACGCAATAATGGGCAAAAAGCTATTTAAATAAACTACATATATTTTAAACTTACATGTTTTGAATTTATAAAAAGGTACTTACAAATAATTAAAATTTTATAAAATACTAAAATGAAAGAGATTTATTTATGTAGTACGTAAGTTTGATGTTTGTTTGACATTGACATTTTATAGAATTTTAAATTATTTTTTATAAATGAAAACACTTTTATTTGTAAATTTGTAAAAAAAATCATAAAAATACACAGTGGTAATTTGTAAACAGTGCCTTACCTACTTGTGACACTTATTCCGCAAGAGTTAAACATAATATGTTCGAGTGTTCAAAACTATTTCTTTTCAAGATACAGTCAAATTTCAAGCACATACATGAAGTAGATTTATTGTCGGTCCACTCCATTCGTGTAATACACCTCGTTATCATCTAATAATTAGCGATAATCGATAAACGGCCAAAACCGTTATCTCCAATATTTGCTGTTAAATAATCGATATTACACTTAAACGATAAAGGGTCATTGCCTATGAAACAGCAATATGAATGAATGAATGTGAGAGAATCGAAATTTGTATTTAAATTTCATTATCTATAATTTTTTTCTTTCTTTGTTTCAGGTCCTTACCCGATCGCCATAATTCCTTTGGTTAATATAACACTTTAATATCCTATTAATATTATAAATGCGAAAGTTCGTAACGATGGATGGATAGATGTTTGTTACTCTTTGAAACAGAAACTACTGAATAGATTTGAATGAAATATAGTACACGGGTATATTCTAAGTAAGTACATAGAATACTTTCTTAGATATACAATCTAAAGATAGAGCATCGAGCCTCGAAAACGGGTCAACTTTTTGTCAACTAGTTGTCAAATTAACCGACTCGATTTTTTTATCAGTGTTTTGTATAATTACGCATCAAAAGTATCTTGATGTATTATTTAATAAATAAAATGAGTATTTACTCATTAAAAAGACGCAGAAATTATGTAGAAAAGAAATCACTCATAACTATTTATCACGCAAAATATGTATGAAAAATCTGACCCACTTTTCTAGAAGCATTTCTATAAAGATACTCTATCTATATAATCGAAGGATACTTTATACACAAAATCATGCGGGTAAATTTACGCGATACAAAGTCACAAGAACAAAGTCTAGCAACGTCTTTATTATTGGTCTATTTTGTTTTTTAATATTTCTGAATGATTGTTTATAGAATGCCTTTTTTTATTAAAACTTGAATCATCGATAACATTTGTCATTAAAAGGTAATTCTTTCATATTTTATTTTAGAAGTTTCCAAAAATGATTTTTACTATTAAATTTCAAAATTCTATGATAAGACTCTTATTGTTTGATTTTAGTAAATACAGGTTACATTCTTAATCATTATTGAAAAATAAAAATTATTATTATCTTTGAACGTTGACCGCTATTACAGATATTGCCAAGCTTCTAATAATAGCTAATATGACATGATTACAAATAAAAATATAAGTAGCCAAATATTAACATTAAAAAAAATTATAGTTGAGCATTTAGTACCTGTGAGTGTATTTTCGAATAAAATCTTAGTTTGCAAACACCTCATGGGAAATAGAAAACTATACCAGTTTAGAAACAAATTAAGATCTTGAGTAGCAATAATATAAGAGTATACAATAGATACCAATCAGGTAGATCATTCTAAAGAATTCAATAACCATAAGATTCCTTTAGTAGAAAAAATTATATAATACATAGTAGCAAATATCAAACAAGATTTAGTGTATAGTTGAGTCAACTACGTATTTAAACAATATGCAGAATATGATACAAATATTTGCAACGAAATTAAAGTATAAACAAAATAAGTATCATGTTCATAAATTGTCTAATAAGTGATCATATTGATGTAAAATCTTCTTATTAGATAAAGACCAAAACCGAACTTAAAAAAAATATTAAAATAAAATGTTTGTAGATATAAGGTGTGTAGCTTCAATGCACTTTAAAATATAAAAAACTGTTACTACCTATATATATAATTTCTTTAAAAACGAGTTGAATGATCTAATTTTTGCCACTATAAATTTTGTGTTGATAATAGCCATAAATTCTAAACACGTCGTCTAGAATTTTATTTATGTTGATGCATAATCTTTTTATAAACGACCACCTTGTTCTTGATATTGAGTAAGAGTTTTTTTTTAATACAACTTAGAATGGCAAACAAGCTGACGGCCAGCCTGATGGAAAGTGGTAACCGTCGCCTATAGACATGAGCAGTACCATGGACATAACAGAGTATACTGTTTCGCCCGTGATACCCCCCATGCGTTGCCATTCCTGAGGACTCAGATGTTATTCCTCTGTACCCTGCAAATTCACGCAATATCCCACCCTTCAAACCGAAACACAGCCATGCAAACACAACTGCTTTACGGTAGAAACATGAAGAGTTAAATGGTTAGTATAAATACTAATACATCTTTTAATATAACACTTTGAAATAGACGTTCTATTTCAAAGTGACTTCACTTGTAGTCTTATCGTGATATTGAATATAAGGCTTTTCAAGCCCCAAGAAATGAGCTATCAAATACAAAAATATTTTTTCAAATCCGACTGGTAGTTCCAGAGATTAGCGCGTCTAAACAAATTCTTGCGCTTTATTATATCAGTATAGATTGTTGACCTGAACATTTCTCTCTGTATAGAGTTCAAACATTTTACTTATTGTACATGCGTAGCCTTTAGAAAATGTCCCTATTTAACTGTATGCTCAACTTCTTTGACTCGATGTGCGTGAATCATTTCATTATGCATGCGAAGTGTCATTTTAATTAAGTTTTGTGTTTCTTTGAATTGTGCTGAACATTTGTAAGGCTCGTTATGGATGCTCCCCTCATTGTTGCGTTCAGAAATAACTATGATGCAGCATAACGCTTCGTAGTGTCCTCCACTCGAGAGCCGTGCCCGTTCTCAGTTGAGCACATCAAGTAATTACTTACTTATTGAGTATTTGTACTATAATAATCATCTTGCGTCATTAATATTGTATGATGTCTTTTGTAACATTTGTAACATGCTTGTTTTTAATGTATTATATTATTAACATCGTTGATTATAAGTTGACAGGTACCAAACGAAGGTTGATTATTGTTATCGTATACGTATCCCGAGATCAATAAAGTTAATCGCATATTAGTCGCCATATAAACGGCAAATTTTCATAGTGTGTTGATAATTAAAATTACCGCCAATTAAACATTTAAATATAATTACAACTAATTGTAAATCAATAGTGATTAGCGTATGTTGCGGCGTGTTTGTGACTCTTTACGTTTATCTTAGTTTATGATTTAATTACACGTTAATATTGCTCTTTTCGTATCGTTGAAGGCGTAAAATTTAATACTGTAGCAATAAAATTGTGGCCGTGAAAATTAAATTTTAGTTTCGTAATTATTTTATTTTTGTTTATAATTAGCAGTGTAATTAAATTGATTTAAGATGTCGATAATGTTGTGCCCGTTACTGCAATAAAAACATCAATATCAAAACACTAACTTGATACTTAGTTATATGCTTCATGCATGTCTTGTTTGTTTACAACAACGATTGGTATGATACCTAGTGCTATGAAAAATATTTAAATTTTGTCTTCTATCTGCTTAGGTTTTAATTTTAACACTACTATACTAAATATTTCATCTCGAATGTCATTACTCCTTGGAGTCACAAAAGGTAAAAAAGTAATGCTGCGCGCACAAGTCCTGTCCTCAACGCCATGAGCTATCCCTGCATCCGCCGATCCAAATTACCCTCTCGGCCTCCCATTGTTCAGGGTTGCCAAAAGCAATAAAAAATTCCTTAAAACAATAGCACCCCCAGGCATCGACTGCCGCTAAAGATATTCATGATAATTATTTTAGAAAATATACCCGCCTTAAACGCTCCTTGTCGGGAACAGGTGTGGTTCGTTATTTTATAGGTTACGCATAAAAAAATTAAAAGCTCAGGAGATGTTTTAATGGCAAGTCTCTTGGTTGGTACCTACTACTTTCTATTGTTATCTGAAAAAGTAATAATGAATGATATTCTAAAACTCGCCTTAATTAAATACTTATCTTTGGAAAATCCCATCTGTATCTGCACAAAATTGCAACTTATTAATATTTTGTTTTTATTGTTCAAGAAGTTGATAGAACACTTATTGTTAATATATGACTTTTAACATAACGTCTAAGATAAATTTATTAAGTTTACTAAGTTTACTAATTCATCGTTTGTCACTCTAATTTAAGTAAAGTTACTAGAATTGAAATTTTTAATATTATTATTGGTATTTTTATTTTCAATGCCAAATACTATGATAGAATTAAACTTTTCTTCGTGTTCTCAAACGTTGCCATCGTTCAAAGTACAAAATAGAGGCATCACACGGTGTTAGTTAAGCGTATTTTAATAACGTTTTTAGTCGCACCACGTAGGTACGTAATTACTGTTTATATCATCAACACTCGTCCCAACACAATTAAGTCAGTTTTTTGGGAATGCGCGACAATCACGATTTGATTATGGTCGTAAAACGTGGACATGCCTACACTGTCACTAAATAACGATTAACCGATGTAAGCTCGTGCATCAGTTAAAAATATAAATTAAATATAATGTACGTTAATATTTTCTATAATCATATTTAAATTACACAGCAGTATGTTTATAGTATATTGACATAGACTTTACAATATAGAGAAAAAAAAAAGATAAAAACGTGTTATTATTTAGCTGTTTGGCTAAATGTCTATGCTATCTAGCATTAATAATACCATCATCTATTAGATAAATAGAACAAGATCAACTACAATCCCTAAATTTAAACAACAATGTGCATTTTAGAGAGAAATACGCTTTCCATAACAAAATTGTTTCCACTGATACCGTAATGATACGTATAACGGCATTTGAAGTGCGAAACTAAACATCATTAACTTGTTTTAGCGTGACAAAGTGTAGACACAAATGCGTTTTACATCAATTTGTTAGTATTTTACAAAACAGTTGGCAATTCCATTGACATGTCCATGTTTGAACAACTCACGCCGACTATGTTTGTCCCTATTCACTAATGCCAGTTTGTGCAGCGATTTTCTTTCGGTCACATTTAGGCGTTATGTAATTGGTGTTGAAAAAATATAATTTCGGCTCTCACGGAAGGCTCGGGTTAACTACAGATCATATCGTGTAAACTACTCTTTATATTAATTGCGTCCGCACCCATTGTTGTCGGATGACATTTAATTTTCATGAATACTCCCATAGATATAGCTATATGCTGTGTTCAAAAAGAGAAATAAGACAAATGAATAAAGTTACACTGCAGACCTCACACTATGATAGCCTTCACGACCTCAGTGGAACACTATGCGATCTTTACCTCAGACTAAAAGAGCTTCTATAGAAATAAGTCCTTAGATTCAATTTTCATTACAACTCTTATTATATTCTACTTAATTAATGAGAAACACCATCGGGAGATTAATTAGTGCTGTCCCCATGACACTTTGTCGGCTATTAATCGGAGAACATATACAAATTGAATTCTAAAACCTGTTTAAAGAGTCGATGGACATTTTTGACATTACATGAGC